TAGTTTTATTGCTTTATGTTTATCGATGAGATTAATGGAATGAAATGCGGGTTATTCTAGAACCTGGTATGAACTTAAGGATTTTTATCCACTGCTGTTCTAATGGCTTAAGAGGTTCACTTGGTTGTGGATGATCAACAATGGCTCTCAATTTTCTAGTTTCTCTCGGTGTCTCGTTCTCTCTGTGTTCCCTGAACTAACCAGTTAAGAAATATAGAAATGTTAATATGGAGAGGCTAGATAACTATGGTGTGGAATTTCTTACTAACTTGGTTTTATGGTTTAGTTTTTGCTATGTGGTTAGTTCTTGCACTCATGGTTTATACACTGTTAAACTTATTGAGATTGAAATGAGTTGAGCTTATTAATTGGTGTTGATTGTTTTTAATGTTAGATTTTGTAATGTGAAGACATCGCGCACTCCTCCACCACCTGACCCAGATGAGCCCTCCAATGTGGCTGAAGCCATTGCATCGTGGGGTTTGGATTACATCGTGATTACCAGTGTTGATAGAGATGATTTAGCTGATCAAGGAAGTGGGCATTTTGCTGAGACTGTTCAGAAGTTGAAGGCATTGAAGCCAAAGATGTTGATAGAAGCCTTGGGTATGAATTATTTGTTATGTTATTCTAAAGAGTTCCAGCCTCCCGTGAAATAAGATATACAAGGAGTATGGTACTTACATGAGATGATTACATTCTAAAACTAGTAAATGCTACCCCCGCTTCGTCTGTTTTAATTTCTCTTGTCTGCTCTTTATTGATTGTATAGTTCCTGATTTTCGAGGAGATGCTGGATGTGTTGAGAAAGTTGCCAAATCAGGTCTAGATGTCCTTGCTCACAACATTGAAACTGTTGAGGAGCTTCAAAGGGTTGTACGTGATCACCGTGCTAACTTTAAGCAATCATTGGATGTTTTAATGATGGCCAAGGACTCTGCTCCAGCAGGGACACTAACCAAGACTTCGATAATGCTAGGATGTGGAGAAACACCTGATCAAGTTGTCAAGACCATGGAAAAAGTGAGAGCTGCAGGTGTTGATGTCATGACATTTGGACAGTACATGAGACCATCAAAGCGTCACATGCCAGTGTCTGAATATATTACGCCTGAGGCTTTTGAGAAGTATCGAGCACTTGGCATGGAAATGGTACATTTTAACCCTGTATTCTAAAAACTCTAATTGCAGGGACCTGACTTTTTTCTTTTTTCATGCATGTGTCATCATGTCTATTTTTTTTGTAGTTACAACATGACTTGTCTATGTATTAGGAAATATTTAGATTACTGTGGGATAAGAAGCAAACTGTGAAATGGATGAACGCCTGCGAGATAACTTTAATATTATCACCTTCTCTTTCTTTTTTGTGCAAAAGGGAAGAGTTGGTCAGAGGTGCAAATTTAAAGTGTTA